GAAACAGAATGGGTGAATAAATGTTGGTATGTCCATGATAGAGTACAGTGTGACATATTAGCTGTTAGTCATCAACACAGTGACTCTCAATCATAATATTGAACAAAAGATGTCATAGATGCATTCTTGACAGTATGATTCCATTAAGCAAAACTGAATGATATATTGCTTAGGTATGTATACATATGCAGGTAGTAAAAGTAGAAGAAAATCAAGGGAATAATTAACACAAAATGCGGATGTTGGAGACCAGCTCCAACTATTGAGGTGTCTGGAGGCAAGACAGGCAGGACCCTAAGGTGGGAAGGCATCCTGAGTGGAGATTCCTAAAAAAAGGGACAGGGAGAAAAAAGGGGAAAGGGGAACGCGGAAGACATGGGAATCGGAGTTGGGTGCAAGTCTTCCTGCTCTGCCTTCAGCAGAGGTTTATTTTGTACATTAGGAGCAAGCAGTGGGATGACACCAGCACACGAACTGGGCTGAGAGATTACAATCATCTTTTTTTTTCTAAGAACAGTTTAGGGTCGTATTGCCCTTTAGCTGAGATATAACATTCTAAAATCAATCAAAGTTAAAAACAGGTACATGGGTGCACAAAGTTTATGACTAATACTACTATAGTGGAGATCAACTAAGATAGAAGTCCCTTAAACCTTGTCTACTACTTAATGGGTTTTTGTTTTTCTACCTGAGTCATCCTGGGAGGCAGAAGAGGAAATTCCTTGCTAATCAAATCTCTAAATAGGAGACATAGGTGAATTTCCCTATCTGAAGACTACATAGTAGAATCCTGAAAGACTAGCCAGAAGACTTTTGTGGATTATTCTGAGGTGTAGCAGGTAGAAAACTTGACTAGTTTCAAAACAGGCAACCTGGATGAATTTTCACATCTAAGGCCAGACAATAGGAAGCTTGAGTAATTCTTTAGAAGCTGAATAGAAGGCTAGATGAGATAATAGAATGATAAGATTTGGGTTTTCCTCCATCTGCAGTGAGAGAGACTTTGCAAAAACAGCCCTTTTGCCTTTACATATCAGCCAGTAGTCAAGTCACTTGACTTCAAAGGAATTTCTCACCCTGGTGCATTGCTTGCTTGTCTGGGCAGGCAGGCCTTATGCGGCTGAGGCAATCCAATTGTAAGCTGAAAGTTGCTCAGAATATTTTGATATTACGATTATACAAAAAAGGGAGGTCATAACATAAGTTAGCGTGGAGAGTCTGATTTTTCAGAGCATTTCCCCTTCATCCGTACCGTGTCTGACGACAGAGGTTGCATAGCTTGTGTCATGCGGGATAATGATTAATTCTGAAAAATGATTACTTGGTTAGTGTAGGTCTAGAATACTTGGGTAACATTTGATTTCTGAAATAAGATTATTGAAAGCATGGTATTAGTTTAGAACTAAAAGTCACACAGTCTTTTCTAAATGATTTTCATTTTTCAATTTAAAAATATGAAAGATCCTTAACTTCACTCAAAATAAGAGGAATGCACATCAAACTATATTACATGAAAAGAACCTACAGGAAAAAAGATATACAATAATAACAACAACAAAAAACAAACACCCCAGTTAAAGCATAAAGAGTTTGAGGAAGGTTTTCTCCAATGAAGATACAAATAGCCTATAAGCACATGTAAAGATGTTCATCATTAGTCATTAGGAAATCAAATCAGAAAGACAATGAGATGCCACTTCACAACCATTAGGATAGTTTTAGCCAAAACAACAACAACAAAACCTGTACTGGTGAGGATATGAAAAAATAGACACCTTTATATATTGTTGGTGAAATATAAAGTGGTGCAACTGCTATAGAAAAGTTTGAAAATTCTTCAAAAAGTTAAATATAGAATCCCACTCCTGGGTATATATCCTAAAGAAATGGAAACATGTATCAACATACACAAATTATATATTATATGAATGAATGTTTATAGCAGTTATCCATAAGTGCCAATAGGTGGAAACAATCCAGATGTCCATTAGTTAATGGCTAGCTAAACAAATTTTCCCATTTTGGTATTTACTTACAATGGAATATTATTCAGCTGTAAACAGGACCAAACTACTGACACATACTGCAACTTTGAGGAAGTTTGAAAACAGTATGCTTAATGAAAGAAGCCTCATAAAAAAGATCACCGCATTGTACACAGTTCCATGTATGTATGTATGTATGTATGTATGTCCAGAATAGGTAAATTCATAGATACAGAAAGTAGATTAGCAGTTACCAGCAGATGGGAAAAGAGGGGAAGTGAAGGGTGATTACTTCATTGGTTCATGTGTTGAAAAGTTTTTACATAAAAGAGAGGTAGTGGTTCCTCAATATTGTGATTATACGAAATGCCACTGAATTGTGTCCTTTCAGTGGCTGATTATATGTTATGTGGATTCATCTAAAAAAATTGATACTGAAATACAGAATTGGGTTCCTCATATTTGTGAAGATACACAGTTTGATTACACACTGAGTTGTTGCGATGGTGAGGACACAGGCATTTTGATCCATTGTGGTGGGAATGTAAATCAATTACCAGAGATGGTAAGATGATAACATCTGTCAAAATGTCAACCATCCTTACCTTTCACTCAGCAACTCTTTTTCTAGACTGTATCCTATAGATATATACCTTTAAAATGTGTATTCAGGGCCCTCTCTGGTGGCACAACAGGTTAAAGCTAGCACTATGAAGCTAGCCGCAGCTGCTTAAGCACAAGTTGAATACCCACCAGGGAGATGACCCACATGGCCCAGCAGACCTCTCCTGTTTCGCTCACTGCTCTCCTCAGCAGTGTGTTTTGTTAATCTGCCTGTTCTGCTCCGCACTCTTTTTGGTGAATCCTCTCACTGTCCCTACACTTCTGGTCTGTACCCCAGTTCTGTATGCATAAATAATAAATCTTAAAAAATATGTATTCAAGGTGATTTATTGCAGCAAGCTGATAAATTATGAGCTAATTATTTGAATGAGGAAACTATATACTTTATTAGAACATCTCTAAGCAAAATAAAGTGGAAAAAAGTAGACTGTAGAAAGTATGCATAGTATAATTCTAATTATATATAAAAGAAGATGGAAGCTGGTTTTTGCTTCTTATGTATGCAATCTTTTCTTTAAGAATATGGAGAAAGACCATTGGTTGCAAGTATGTAGAGTCTGAATACCTGTATACATTCCTATTACGTCCACAAGCCAATGCTTTTTTACCTAGTCAGAACTCATGTTTGATTAATTTTACTGATGAAAAGCATAATACTACCTTTTATTTGTATATATTGTTTTATATTGTTTGGTTTGACCCTCAAAACAAACCTTTGAGATGTACCTTAGTTTATACATGATATTTTATATTTTCAAATAAAGTATGTAACTTTGGCTAAATATTTTAACTTTAAATGACTTTGTTCTATATATATATATTTTTTAAGATTTATTTATTTATTCATACAGAACTGGGGTACAGGCCAGAGATGCGGAGGGTGAGAGGATTCACCAGAGAC